GCAATCAGAGATCAATTACTTCCAGTCTATAGGTTCAGTTCTATTAATGGGGGATCTGAATGCCAGAACGGGGAAGGAAGTGGACTACATCAGCTCAGATGGAGACAAATATATAAACGGTTCACTTAATCATCAACAGAAACGTTTGGCCAAAACACGCCAGAATTATGACAACACAATTAACAGACATGGAAAAGAAGTCCTGCAGCTCTGCAAAAGCCTGGGTCTTTACATAGTTAATGGCAGAGTAAAGGGTGACTCTCTGGGTCGATTTACATACTGCTCATATCTAGGCAGCAGCACAGTAGATTACGCCATCACAGATATAGACCAAAGTAAGATCAATTATTTCACAGTCATGCCTCAGCTGCCATTATCAGACCACAGTCACATAATCCTCAGTCTCAACAGGTCAGGGAATCATCTGCCCTCTTCAGAACAGAAAGTTAAATCATATCCGCTCCCCCCCAAATTCACAGTCCTGCCCAGTATGAAGCTGCGCTCCACAGCACCCAAGCTGAGAACATGATAGACTCCTTTCTCTTGACTACGTTTAGTGAAGGGAAGAGAAGTACCAATTCAGCAACTGAACTGTTAACTAAAATCTTTTCTACAGTGGTCAGAAAAGCCCTCAGAAAAAGAAAATATTACAGATGTAAAAAAGAAACCGCTAAAGATGCTTGGTTCAATAAAGAATGCCAAAAACTAAGAAAAGAATTACGATCATTATCAAATAAAAAACACAGAGACCCGGCAAACCAACAAATACGAGCCACATATCAACAAACCCCTTAAATTATACAAGTCACTATTAATACAGAAGAAAACTGATCACATCAAAATAAAAATAAACAAAATTGAAGCAGCAATCGACCAAAATTCTTTTTGGGAATTATGGAACAATTTAGACAAATCCAAAGAGGCCAAGCACCTTCCCATCTGTGACCCAAACATCTAGACTGAACATTTCAGAAAACACTATTCACTAAACGAAACTACCCTCGCCCAAAAACATCTGACCGCCCAACTAAAAATCTGGACAATTTCCTGAGATCTGGAAAGAGAACGTGATAACCCCAATTTTTAAACAAGGTGAGAAGTACGACCCAAATAATTATAGAGGCATCACAGTGAGCAGTAACCTCGGAAAACTATTCTGCTCTATTATTAATGACAGGTTAATTAAGTTCATCCAAGAACACACGATTTTAAACAATTGTAAAATTGGATTTATGCCTAAACAGAGAACTTCAAATCACATTTACACACTCCACACACTCATACAAAAATATGTTCATCAAACAAAACAAGGAAAAATGTTTGGCTGCTTCATTGATTTTAAAAAAGCCTTCGATTCAGTATGGCACAATGGACTTTTCCTAAAACTAATTCAAAGCGGAATAGGAGGAAAGACATATGACATCATAAAGGACATGTACAACGGGAACAAGTGCTGTGTGAAGATCAACGACAGACGGACTGATTATTTCAGTCAGACCAAAGGAGTGCATCAAGGCTGCAGCCTCAGCCCGACTCTGTTTAATATCTATATTAATGAACTGGCATCAGCACTCGATAAGTCCTCTTGTCCTGGTCTGACCCTCGAGGGCAGAGAAATCAAATGCCTCCTGTATGCTGATGATCTTCTGCTCTTGTCACCTCATGAAGAAGGGCTACACCAAAGCCTCTCAGTTATAGAGAATTACAGTAGAGACTGGGCCTTACCAATAAACATGGAGAAAACCAAAATTATGATCTTCCAGAAAAAGCCTTGCCTTACTGACAAAAAATGTAATTTTACAATCGGGGGAACACTTCTTAATCATGTCACATGTTATAATTATTTGGGTCTCACTATTTCAGCTTCTGGTCAATTTGATCTGGCAATAAAACATCTGACCGATAAGGCACGCAGGGCTTATTACACTATAAGAAAATCTTTGTTCAAATTCAACCCACCGATTAAATTATGGCTAAAAATCTTTGACAGCATCATCAAACCCATTCTTCTATACGGTTGTGAAATCTGGGGCCCCAAATTTAAATTAAACTATACATCTTGGGATAAAAACCCCACTGAAATGTTCCACCTGGAGTTCTGCAAGAACATCCTGGGACTCCACAGAAATGCCCCTAGTCTTGGCTGCAGGGCAGAATTGGGCAGATTCCCCCTTCTAGCAGAAATCCAGAAGAGAACAGCCAAGTTCTGGTTCCATCTATCAGACACACTGACAGATGATTACCATCACTGCGCTCTTACTTACAGGACAGGACACCCAGAGAATGACCCCATGCACTATTTAGTGGAAAAATATCAACTCAGTTCAACAATTCAGTTAAGACACGCAAAAATTAAAGAAATTGGAAAAATAACCCAGGAAGAATACATCCATGATTGGCAGATCAAAGTAGCACAAATTAACAAATTAAAGTACTTCTACAGATTAAAGACTGGTTATCAATTGGCCCCTTACTTGATCAAAATGAAAGACTATGGTCAGAGAAAGCTGAGTGAGCACAATCTGAGTGTGGAGACGGGCCGACACAAACAGAGCTGGAGAGAGAGAGAGCTCCGACTGTGTTCTCACTGCACAGAGGGACTCGTAGAGGACAAGCTGCACTTCCTCACACACTGCAGCAAATATAAACACATCAGAGACACTTATTTTACACAAATAGCTCAAATTGTGCCTGAATTCCAGCAGGCGAGCCACATAGACAAACTCTGATATATTTTGGGAGAGAAAGAAAAGTGTATCCACCTGGCAGCGCAGTATGTATCCTCCTGCCATATTATGAGGGACAAAGGCTAAACTCTCTTTTCTTTACCAATGCTCTCTGTAAGTAATCACCTTGTATTTGCTATTGTTTTTTTTTGTTATATGTGATAATATATGTAGTGTTTTTTTTTTTACTGTCTATATGCCTGTACAACTTGTTCGCTGTTTATTGCTTTGGCAACATTGTGCTGTTCCACAGTCATGCCAATAAAGCTCAATTGAATTGAATTGAATTGAGAGAGAGAGTGTGTGTGTGTTCATCATCAGAGAGTCATGATCTGCATGAGCTCTCAGAATTTACTTTTTGTTCGTATTTTGAGATGAGAGTTAGATCAAAAATGTTAAATATCTGAAAGAATATCAAATTCTGAACTGAACTTTAACAAAAGGAAATCAGAAAACGTTATTTTTGTTTTTAAAACGAAATATTCAGCGCAGAGGATCAGTTTCTAGCAGCACAGACCACAGGAAAATCAGAGGGAAATTCAAAAACAGGACAATCCTTCAAGATAAACCTCAACAGTTCAGAGAGGGAGAAGCAGTGAGTACAACTAACTGCAGTGGACAATATTTATTCTCAAATACAAGGACATACAATTTAAAATGGACCTTTTTATAGTTTTTATAAACTAAAGGTGCTAAAAATGCTAAAAGCTAAAGCTATGGCTACCCTACACTCTGACATTCCTCAATGTATAAATTCAAATGAGCCAGAGAACATTAACCAATCAGAGGAGAAGATGCAGTCACCGGTGCTAAAAATGCTAAAAGCTAAAGCTATGGCTACCCTACACTCTGACATTCCTCAATGTATAAATTCAAATGAGCCAGAGAACATTAACCAATCAGAGGAGAAGATGCAGTCACCCCACTGCCATATGCAAATGAGCTCCCCACTCTGCACAGACTGTGTGTCCATACAGTACCCCTCTGACGTCACAGCTGAGTCTGCAAGGAAAAACTATAAGCAGAAACTTCTTAAAGACAACCCAGAAACTCTTTTTGCAGATTCCTTTAAAACTGGAGAATTCTGCAATCTCATTTTCTTCACTGATCATCCCAGCGTCTGGCATAAAGCCATCATCAACCATTACCCCTCTGTAAAAAAAGAGGACATCTAATGGCTGGAAAGTCCAAATCAGAGAACCACGTGACCCCGACACCACAGTGATAACTGTGAACTTATATAAAAATGGCACAGTCATGATACAGGGAAATCTGAAAACATTCCAGACTGACTACAGCGCAATAATGAAACAAGAGAAAGCACTATTATCTGAATGTCTAACGTCTGAGCAGAATACACAGAGCAGTAGCCCAGATCTCAAGCCCACGCCTGCAGAGAGCCCTGCCCAGGACCCCTCGTCCCCCCTGCTCAAATCCATACCTGTACTCCAGGAGCACTTCACAAGGCTGGAGGTGGAGATGGTGCAGCTCTTTAGTTAAATTGGTAGGTACACGTTAAAACACATGTATACAATGTTCATCATCGTCTTGTATGAATCAGCCTACGTTTTTAAAACGTTGGAAGGAAACATATGGACGTGATAAAACGTTATAAAAACGTTTCTGCAACGTGGGGGTTTTTTCACATTATCACAACCTTTTCACAAGGTGAAAAAAAAAAAAGTTTATGAGAGATACAAACTTTAATCACATTTTTTTTGTGTTTCCTGTTTACTCAGGACTTTTCTGTATTTACATAGTCTCTATAGTATGATATCTAGGTGAAAGAGTCTCTGTGTCTGTTCCCCGAACTTGCAAATCACTGATTCTTGAGAAGTGGGACGAAACATTATTGGGGAATAAAACCTTGTACTCAGACAAATGAAACAACACGTATGTGTCTTAATTTATTCATGAATCTTACATGTACTAAGCTACTGAGCTATGCTTTGATTCAACCTCCCAACTTTTCTCTTTTATCAAAATATGATTTTTACCTTGGACTGTGTAATATAAATGCAACTTTATCTTTAACAGAGATCAAGGTGTTTTTAACATTTCAAAACACATTCTCATGTTAGCAGACAGATTACACTTTCACATGTGACCAACAATTCCTCAAAAAATATAAAATATCATAATCAAATATTATCAAGATATTCATCTGAGGGAGGTGACAGAGATGACACATCTGACGGTGGTGATGAAAACCTGAATTTGTAGTCATTTTAACGATCAAATACACTCAATCAATCAATTACTGTATTAAACAAACACAACAAACAGTGAGTATGTTATTGTTTGTAAAGCTTTTATTCAAGAGTCACATTTTATAAAAACAAGCTCTTTTTATCATTAAAAACATTTTCATCCATTTGATAGCATATGAATGATTGAATTGTCTCTGTGTTGTTTCAAGGGGAAAAGCATGAACTGTTTATGAATTCCATTTTACCGACAATGAAGACCTCACAATATTGTTATTTCAGCAGCATGAAAAACAAAATGGTTATTCAAACTGGGAATAAATAACTTAAAAGAAACACAGCGCTTCAAGACTTCAGCCTAAAACTGTGAGTTCTGCATTTTCACAAAAACTCTCGTTATAATTACTGAAGCGGTCTACACTGCACAATCAATCTCTTTTCTGCAGTTTGTTGTTTATGCTGATGAGTGAGTTTGTGAATTCAGTCAGTGAGGGCACACCGAACAACTCCAGAGTTCTCCGCAGTGACGAATCAAAACACCTCTGATTGGATATTGCATTCATAAGCTCAAGAGAATCATGTGTGATTGGTTATAATGCTCAACACTGCAGACCGCAGAATCATCTCACAACACTCAAAAATAAATCTGATGTAATGTAATAAAGCAAACCTACTATAAATTAAATGCTGCGATCGACACCTTTCATTCACGTTACACATTTCACGACAGCTTCTTATAGCACTACTACAAAATATCACCTAAATGAAGTCAAATGTATTCCTGTGGAGTCGTTCACAGACGTCACACACGGTGTTCAGCTAATAAAGATCCTCAGCGCAAGCCAACAGCAGAATTTGCAGATTTGGCTTCAATTGTCTGAAGGTCTTTATGTTCTCCCTGTTCTTAAATGTCCAGGTATGAATGAGAAACCGCTTCAGATGATTCAGTGCGTGCAGGGAACTGAACAAATCATTCAAAGTGATTCGTGAACAAATGCACACCATTTTGCAGGCTTCTTTGTTCAAGACCTTGAATAGAATCGACTCAAAAGAGCGATTCATTTGTGAATGGGGCATCGTTCATGACCCAGATAAAAGAGTGCACTTGGAATAAATTACATTTGATAAGGATTTGTTGAGGACACAGCATCAGATCTGAAAGAGCTGGATCTGAAGATGATCTACTTTCTGTGAATGTGTTTTGTATGACTGTGTAAAGCAAATGAATTATTGAAACACTTCCCACATGCAGTGCAGTGATACGGTTTCTCTCCAGTGTGGATACTCTCATGTGTTTTCAAATGTCCTAACTGACTGAATCCCTTGTCACAGTGTGAACACTTATAAGGTTTTTCTCCAGTGTGAATCCTCTCATGTCGTTTCAAATGTGCAGCTGTAGTAAAAGTCTTTTCACACTCAAAGCACATGTACTCTCTCACACCAGTATGTATTTTCTGATGTTCTTTCAAATATTGTAGACATGAAAAACTCTTTCCACACAAATAACATGACTGTGGCTTCTCCTTTGTATGAACTCTCAGGTGTTTCTTCAGGTATGAAGCTCTCAAAAATGTTTTGCTGCACTGATCACATGTGTGTGGTTTCTTTTCAGTGTGGATATTAATGTGTCTCTTAAGAGTTGATGAGTGTGAGAAGCTCTTCCCGCACTGATCACAAGTGTATGGTTTCTCTCCAGTATGAACTCTCAGGTGAACATCAAGATTTGTTTTGCCTGTCAAACTCTTTCCACACTGAGTGCAGGTGAAAGATTTCTTGGCTCTTCTTTTCTTTAAATCTTCCTGTTTAGTTTCAGAGCAACTTTTGACATGATTTCTCTCGTCAACTTCACTCGATTCTTCATTTAACTCTGAAATAAAAGTAAAAATGGTTTATTTTCAGTTAGTCATAAAAACAGAGAAATGTGAAAGGAGATAAAAAATGAACCCTGATGTAAACATATGTCTTTTTGATGCATTTTTATAAATTATGTCTCTCTGAGATTTTAACTATTTGTAAGTATTATAGACACAAATCCCATGTTTCTACAAGGAGAACTATTAAATATGTTTGATCAACAACAAAATTAATCTAACATACATTAATTTTAGGGCTGCAACAACTAATCGATAAAATTGATTATCATCGATAATGAAAATCATCGACAACGATTCTCATTATCGATTAGTCGAGTCTGCCCACAGTGCACGTCCAACTTCAGCCGGTTACATCAAATTACATCACTGAATTACGCATTTCTATGGACAAAATGCATCTAAAAATAGTGGAGACAGAATGAGATGCTGCGGGAGAGTTATGTGATCCAAGCTTCCCAAAACATGAGAATTCTTTATTTTAAGCTGTAAGCTGATGCATTAGCGTGATGGCTTGCCCTGTCAGGCGCTTAAACTCATTGACTCATTCTCAAATATTTCTGAATACTCAATCAACTGGAGTAAATCTGCTATTCTTTCATTAAATTCCACCAGCTTGGATGTGACATCCCATACACCACCACTTCCTCTGTGCACCAATTACATCACATATCTAGGTATTAATGTTTCCCCCAGGCTGTCAGAGCTGTTTGGACTCAACTACTCTCCATTACTTAAAACGATAGACGATAATCTTCAACGCTGGATGAACCTACCACTATCTATTATGGGCAGAATATCAGTAATTAAAATTACTATCCTTCCTAAATTTATTTACAATGACACCAACACAACACACCCTTTCCTGGTTTAAATCACTAGATTCAATCATTACCAAATTCTACTGGAAAAACAAGACCCCAAGAATTAAATTGACTACCCTACAGAAACTAAAAATACAAGGAGTACTGGAAGCACCACATTTTTACCACTACTTTCTGGCCAATCAGCTCCAAAATATACACAAATGGATTCACCCTGACTTATCAGAAAGCACATGGCTAGACGTGGAACAAAAAATTTACAAAGGACATTAACACTTCAGAATTACCCATCTTCAATCAGACCATCAAAAACCATCACTGTTTTAAATAACAAATAGCAGACACTCCTCTTGCACCATCTAAATACACCCTGATCTGGAATAACCCAGATTTTACAGCTAACAAGAAGCCACTCAACTTATGCACATGGGCAGAAAAGGGCATCACACAACTTCACCATATGTTTCATAATAATAACCTGGCACCATTCTCCCACTTGGTCCAGAAATACGGTATTGGGAGTAATTGTTTTTTGGAATACTCACAAATCAAATCAGCAATTCAATCAATCAATTAACCTTTCCCCTCCAATCTCAGCGCTAATTAATATATCGAACTCAAAAAAACTACTCTCCAAAATATACAGAATGATATAAAAATCAGACAATACATTAAGCTTACCAAATGTTAAATGGGAATCAGACTTATCTATTACCCCCGATGCCTCCTTCTGGACACAAATCTGCAGAAATATCGACTTCATGACAAAAAATGCCAACCTGCAACTTATACAGTATAAAGTACTTCATAGATTTCACCTAACTGGACGAAAATTATTTTAAATGGGTTTTACTTCAGAAACATGCTCACATTGTACACAAAACACCCCAGACACCTATTTTCACGCCATTAGGCATTGCACCTCAATTAAAAAAAATTGGGAAACGTTACTGACTCACTATCCAACCTTATGGGATGTCACATCCCATTGTCTCCCTCCCTCTGTATATTAGGTGACATATCCATAATTAATTTAAACAATCCAAATAGTCAATTACTCCTAGTGGCTCTAATTATCGCCAAGAAAACTATCCTCATGAACTGGAAATCAAGGAACACCATACATATTACATCTTGGAAAAACTTACTAATAGAGTACATCTCCATGGAAAACCTGTCAACTTCCACTCAAAATGATACAATAGAATTACACCCCTCTTTTTTTATTTTTTTTTTACCATAAAATTTTTATTGTTGCAAATTGCATTTTTACATTTTATACCACCCCACCCTCCATATACACCCCTACCCAGGCCCAACAATGCAATCCCCAATTAAAACACAATGACATCTGGGGGAGATAAAAAACAAAAACAAAAAAAAAACACATAAAACAAATTAATAATAATAATAAAATAAGGGGTATACATATATACCTCCACTCAATCCACGTCTAGGGTTTGTAAATCATTTAAGTATGTGATAAATTGTTGCCATTTTTCAAAAAAAGATTCCCCCCTACCTCTGATATTGTACTTAATTTTTTCAAGTTTAAAAAAAAAAGACAGAATCTTTGAGCCAAACTGAAATAGATGGGGGTTTAGGGGAGGTCCAAGATAACAGTATTCTGCGCCTAGCAAGAAGAGATGCAAAAGCTATGACGTCAGCCTGTCTCTAGCTTAAAGACTGACATCGAGAAGAAACACCAAAGATTGCAATCAAAGGGCAAACAATTAACTCGACCCCTAGGACATCAGAAAGTATTGTAAAGAAAGAATTCCAAAAGTTTTGCAACTTGGGACAAAATGCAAACATATGACTAACGTTACATGGTGAAAGTTTACATTTATTACACAAATCTGAAACATTGGGATATATTTTAGAAAGTTTTGCCTTTGAAATATGAGCTCTGTGAATCGTTTTAAATTGTATAAAGCTAAGTCTAGCACACAAAGTGGTGGTACGTACATTGTCTAATACTCTACTCCAGTAATCATCCTCAAACTCGAGGTCAAGTTCCTCTTCCCAAACCCTGATTATTTTAATGCTGTGAGAATTATTGTTTGACAGGATAATTGCATATATTTTAGAGATAATCCCACCCATATGAAGATTCAGTTTAAATGCCTCCTCCCATGGAGACTTTGTAGGCAGAGAGGAAAACCCAGAGAGCAGAGAGGAGACACAGCGCCTAATTTGAAAGTACCAAAATAGGTGAGAGGAAGGCAAATTAAATGACGACGATAATTCAGAAAAACTCGCAAACACATTATTAATGAAAAGATCTTCAAAGCATTTCAGACCTTTCTTTTCCCAGAAAGAGAATACAGAATCTGAAAAGGGAGGAAGAAAGAGATGATTATTATGTATTGAAGCCATGATTGATGCCGAGGTAAATTTAAAATGACGTCGAAATTGAAAGAATATTTTAAGAGAAGAGCATACTATTGGATTATCCGTGTAATGTGAAGGGGACATGGGGAGAGAAGAGAACACCATAGCAGGGAGAGATGTTGAAATACAAGACTTAGCTTCTAAGTAGCACCATGGTAAAGAGGAGGCCTGTACCCAGAACACCAGCTTCTGAATATTTGCTGCCCAATAATAATACATAAAATTGGGCAGGGAAAGCCCTCCACTTAGTCGACTTTTTTGAAGCAAAATTTTGGAAACTCTAGGAGTTTTACCTGCCCATATAAAGGAGGAGATTAGTTGATCTATATTCTTGAAGAAAGATTTGGGCAGAAACAGAGGAATAGCTTGAAAGAGGTAAAGAAATTTGGGGAGAATATTCATTTTTACAGCGTTTATCCTACCTAGTGGAGATAATGGAAGATCTCTCTGAATGCCATCTTAAAAACTGTTGTACGGAGAGACCGTGTGTGTGTGTGTGTGTGTGTGGGCACTCTCTCTTTCCTTATGTGTGTATGTGCACACATCCTCGTACCTCACCGCTCCAAACTTAATCCGGGAAGGTGAACATTCCTGCATCATAACTTGGACTGAAAGATGAATGTGTAGAAAGTGAGCATGTCTCCAAAAACCTTTTTTTTTTCCTTCCATTTATAGGGATTTTTTTTTTACAGAAAATAATTTATTTATGTTCTGATTATTGTTAAGCTGCAGGTTTAGGCTCACTTAAGTGACTGCATTTAATTAAGATGAATTTAATTATTTATTCTAATTATTTAGCCTGATATGGTTACTGTTCCAAAATGTTCTATATGTTTCTTAAAAATAAAATGTGTTCAGTGGGGGAAAAAAATGTTTTTTATACCCAGACATTTAAAAATAACATATTTTAGAGCTGTAATCGCAATACCGAGGTTATCATACCGTCAGAATCTCATACCGGCCCATGCCTAACTATTACTATTATCACTTATCACATTTCTCATCCTCCATCCTCTGCTTTTTGTTATTAATGCTATTATTATCATCATTGGACCGATGACCGATGGCGCCGCAGACAGCAGCCTCAGTGTTTGGTTCTCCAGTGTTTGTACTGTTTTTGTTAGTTTTTCCTGTTTTTTGTTTCTCAAACACGATCAGTTTTGCCAGGGATGAGCTGCTAAACATTTGGCAGTACACACCACACAATCTTCTACCGGATTTCGTTTAATCGGACGTTTTGCTTAATGTTGTAGTTGGCGGAGCAGCGGCGCTGATCAAGTGCTTCAGGACGCGCAGACGGGGGA